GTATAACTTTACAAACGCACATGCATACAGTACATTATTAAAGATGATTGTAGATTCTAGTGGCCAGAGCCGGGGTTATGTGGTGTCACCGATAAGAGAGCGTTGAGGTGAGCCAAGGGCCGTGTTTGCATGTCATCTCTCAATTAAAAGTGATTACACAGAAGCGCTCTAATCAGCCAGCACATTGTCTAGTCAACCTTTCCACCCACACAAACGCCTGCGGTTTCCAAACACGCCGATATGAAACACTGGAAACATAATATGAATTCAAAATCATGTGAATTCACAATGTTGATTTGGATTTCAGTGATTTTCAGATATTTTAGAGTGAGTAGGTGTAGAGAATATTCAACTTTCTGACTTTTTTCAGTACTTCAATAGGCAAAATTATCTGTTGTGTTGTAAGATTTTGTTCTTTTTTCACTCCATGGACAAATACTGCAGCTTTTATTAAAGGATCATTAAGTAACTTTTCTGGTACATCATCTATGGAGTTACTTTTGTCTCATTAATATTCACAAATGCACAGAGGGGGATCTACAAATAATCATTTAATAACTTAACTTGTAACTTGTATTTTGGTCCTTACAAATAGATGTGTTTGTAAATATAGATTTTTTCATTTGTAAAAAATTGTAAAACTGAAAATTCTGTTGTGATGGCATTTGTGGATCAACAAATTCACCAATTACACAAATTCACCGATTACACGAATTTACCAATTACACGAATTCAACGATTACACAAATTCACGGATTACACGAATTCACAGATTACACAAATTCACCAATTATACAAATTTACCAATTACACAAATTCACCGATTTGACCGAATGAGACAAAAGTGATCCCATGCATCCACCATCTTCTTGTCTAAATTGAAATAATCTGCCGTTTTCTGGAATTTTCCACAATATTAAACATTGTCATTAACATTGAACCGCGATAAATTTATGGATCTTTAAAATCTTTTCTTTTCTAAAGTCTAACACTGTAGAAGCAATTAAAAAAGAGTATAAAGCGGTTTGTTCTGGAAGATATAGAGCTCTGGAATTAATGAATTATGCATTCAATTTTGTTTGTTTTAATTTATATTTTGTCTCTTATATTTACAATAAGTCATAAGTTAAACTGTAAATGCAAACTTGCTGTTCATACGCTGCTTTTCTTTCTTGGAATTCTGTCATTGTTTAATAAGTTTTGGCTCTATAAGTACTTTTTACTTCAACCTAAACCCTTTTGGTCATGATCTGTGGGGGTCTATGTTTTGTTTTGTTTTGTTTTGTAGTGCTGCAAAATGACTGAATAAAAAACTATTACTACTACTAATCTTCATGACAAGCAGGTGACACCGTTGGGCCAAGTTAGAGGTCAGATCTGTGGAGAGGCGACCCCACTTACAGTAAAACTGCATGTTTTTAAAGTATATTATGATCTGTAATACATGCAAGACAGTTTATTTTGAAGCCATACAGCAGAATATTCAAAGCATCGACATCTCCATGGAGACAAGGAGACCCACACCAGAAAAGTTACACAGCGCACCTTTAAATTAGAAAAAAAAATATTGAAATTTGTAGGAAAACTATGGAAATTACTAAGAAAAAAACAAACGTAGACCACACTGTAAACCCAAATAAGTCACCTGAACTCAAAAAAACTTTGGCAATCGATTACCTCAATTATTTTAAGTTGATGAACTTAAAAGTCACAATCTTCCAGAACTTAAAAGGTTGGATGTCTTACTACTTCTACTTTTTGATAACGGCTGAATTAAGTGCTGATTTAGCGCCACTCAAATATTTTCACTTATTATGACTTAAATTTAGGAGTTTTCACTTATTTGGTGAAGCGCTTTGTAATTGTATTGAATTTTAGCGTGTACTATATAAATTAAGTTTATTTTAAAATCATCCCTACTTGAAACAGTAGAAATAACAGGACTTTATCATTCTTATTGTTTAATTACTTCAATCTACTAAGTTGTACCTCATCTATGTTTATAAGTTACGCACATTTAAACCCACAATAGTTTCCTCTAATCAAAAAATATTAGTTAAAATGACTCAAAAAGAAGAACATGTTACAGCAACTTGACATAATTAAGTTAGTAGGACTATTTCTATAACTTTGAGTACACAACTTAATTTATTTAATTACCTTGAATGTTCTAGTTTACAGCGCAACTAACAGAATAAATCAGCGAACCCTCATTAATGTTCTGATGTTTTAGAACGTGTCCTGTACTGTTTGATTGTTTTTAATTATGCGTCTTAATTATGCATCTTAATTAATTATGTGTCTTAATTGCTGTTTGTCCTTGAGTGCCCAGAAAGACGCCTTTAAATAAAATGCATTGTTATTTATTATTATTAAATCATGTCTCAACTCTGACTTCTTAAATGACGCCGTTCCCTTCAAAACTACTTACAAGTCGAGCCTGGAGAAGACGCTTGAAATCCAACCAAACATTCTTGTTTAGTGCGACCAGATTTTCAAAATAAAAAACTGAGACATGTGGGATTTGGTGGTCAGTAATAATAAAATTGTGAAATGAGTGAGTAATTAAGGAAAATTGTTCTGCACTTGGTACTAATGTGAGTCAATAGAGTTTGATTTTGTTTGTGTTTTGGTCGTTTTTAAGCAGCTTTTTTGTATTTTACCTAAAGAAATGACAATGTCTGCCTCTTTTTACTGTAGGCAGGGATCAAATTAGGTACATCTGGGACATTTCTTGAAATAAAACTGGGACAAATCACTGGTTTTGGATCGGGATGTAACAATAACCAAAATATCACGATACTGTATCGTCAAATGTCTCCCAATAATATCAAGACAGCTTATAAGCATTGGAAACTACATATCCCATAATTCATTTCAGAGCAAACAACATGAAGAAATATGTTTTTTACTTGAATTCTTGGGATTATGACAGAAATAATTCACATGAAAATCTTGTTGAGGTATTCTAAAAGCAAAAAAGTGTCCTATCTACAATAATATCAGCCTCTTCAAAAAAAATCACAATAAATATCGTACTGTGAGATGCATATTTTGATAATATCATACTGTGAGATTTGGATATCGTTACATCCCTAGTTTTGGATAAATCAAACTGTGGTAAAAAATGGGGACACCTGGGACTGGGACTTTTCTTGTATAAAACTGGGACAAATCACTGGTTTTGGATCGGGATGTAACAATAACCAAAACATCGTGATATCGTATCGTCAAAAGTCTCAGAATAATACTGTGGGCCATTACTATATATCGAATCACAAGTTTCTTTGCTTAAATGCATGATTTTACAGTAGCAGCAGCTTATGAACATCGGAAAATACATATCCCATGATTCATTTCAGTGCGGACGACATGAAGAAATATGTTTTTTACTTGAATTCTTGGGATTATGATGGAAATAATTCACACCAAAATCTTGTCAAGGTGTTTTAAAAGCAAAAAAGTGTCCTGTCTACAATTATATCAGCCTTTTCAAAAAAATCACAATAAATATCATACCGAGAGATGCATATTTTGATAATGTCATACTGTGAGATTTGGATATCGTTACATCCCTAGTTTGGGATAAATCAAACTGGTAAAAAATGGGGACACCTGGGACATTTCTTGTATCAAACCGGGACAAATCACTGGATTTGGATCAGGATTTAACAATAACTGAAATATTGTGATATCGTATCGTCAAAAGTATCACAATAATATCAATGACTATCGCAATATATCAAATTACAAGTTCTTTAATCACTTAAATACATTGTTTTATAGTAGTAACATCTTATAAACAACAAAAACTACATTTCAGTGCAGACAACATGAAGAAATATGTTTTACTTGAATCCTTGGGATTATGACGGAAACAATTCACACGAAAATCTTGTCAAGGTAAATTAAAAGCCTCTTCAAAATATCGCAATAAATATCATTCTGTGAGATGCATATCGTGATAATATCGTACTGAGAGATTTTTATATCATTACATCCCTAGTTTTGGATAAATCTGCTGGGAGAGGGGACACTGGGCTCAAAACTGGGACTGTCCTGGGTAAACAGAAACGATTGGTCACCTTATTGTCAAACATCTCGCTAGACCCACAGCGTAAACACGTGCAGCTCAGCCTATCCACACTGTCAGATTTAGCCCGGCATTGAGCTGCATTGAACGGCCAGCCTCCCCACAGAGCACGGCCTAATGTATCCACGGGAGCTGCGGCCGAATCAATACCTCTCTGAGAACTGCCAAACAACCAGAAGTGAAGAAATGGAGCTACGTGTGCGTGCAAACCTCTGCAAACCTCTTCCTCCGTGCAACTTTTCGCTTTTTATGATAAAGCGCTCCGGACCTGCAGAACAACACAGTGAGTTGCACGGGACATGCACCGTGCAGTACGAGTTGCCATGGCGGTGCAGGCGGTGTAAAGCGGCTGTCACTAAAACAAACAGCGCTGGAGTGTCTTGATGAAGTGCGGCCGGGCCAATGGTGCGCCGCATATGGCTTCTCCTCCGTGTTTGCTTTAGAAATGAGAAACGAGCGGCTCAAAATCGACTCCGTTATGGGGTTATTTATGACCCGGCTGAGTAATTATCACTAAGGAGCCATTCAACAGTTCATATTGAGAAATAAATAGAATCAGTGGTAGCAGTAAAAGTTAATGATTGAATGGCTAACAGGCTGGAACTGATAATGGAAAGCCAGCGGTAAACTCAACGCCGGCAGACGCACCGTGAGCTCCGGGAGCAGCAGCCCGCTCTCCCGGGGTCAGGAGTTGACCCAGTCCCGCGGTCAGAGGCAGAGCAGCCCCCTCCCCCGGGCTGCTGCGCTCAAACACGGGGCAATTACCGCCCGCTTCCTGGCGTAAACTCCACGGTAAAGTGATAGCGCTAATGGAAACAACATGAGGAAATTAAAAGTCTAAACGCAAAACAAACCCTGTGACGGGCTGATGAAGGACCTGCCCCCGCTCTCTGCCCCCCGGTGTTACCTTGAGGCTTTCCGGATGAAGTAGGAGTGGGTGAAGTCCAGGTGGTCGTCCAGCCACGCTTCCACCCGCTCGCTTTCCGCGGAGCAGCAGTCCTCCATAGCGCTGCCTCCGCCGCCGCTACATCCGAACCGGGAGCACCACGGGAGCACGAGCGCACGGGAGCACGAGAGCACGGGAGCACGAGAGCACCACGGGAGCACGAGAGCACCACGGGAGCACGGGGGAGCACGAGGGCACGGGACCGAGATGTGAGCCTATGAGCGCGCGCACGAGCACACACACACACACACACAAAGACAGAGAGCGCGAGGCACAGCAGCGCGAGGCACAGCAGCGCAGCTCGCGGGCCAATGGGCCAATGGGTCGCAGCGCGCGGACCGCAGCGTCAGAGCGCTTCCTCGTTGGTCGAGCGACTCCAGGAGAAGAGGGAGGAGAGAAAGGAGCCGCCTGCGATAAATGAGCTGCCTCACAGAACATTAGGCCAGCAGAGGCCATTAACCAGTGTTTATCATTAACTCATTGACTGATGGACGCTGATACAGCCTGCGCTCGCTCTCTGACAGAAAAAACTGAAAAATAATACACGACTCAACCACAGCTCGTTTTAACCATTAATACACATCTTATCCTCCTGGGACTCGAAGAAAAAAGTGTATTGCAATATATATTTTTTTGTTATTTTCTCTCTATTTGAAGGTAAATGAACACTTTAGCATTTACATTTTGTTCATTTTATTTTTATTTATAATTTTGCAACATGTCCTTTGTAATGGACGCCGGAGACACTTTGGTATTAAATCCATGTGAAGTTAACAACCTCACTCTCTGAATCTCTGACAAGCTTCTACAGTCGCCTCAAAAAGTTTTTAGATTTCCTTTTAATTTCTTCTTAATCATAGTGCAGCCACAAACTAGCTCCTATTGACTTCATTTTTTTTAATCCTGGACATGATAATCCCCTATAATCCCCCGGCCCCATTTAGGCAGAGGAACCTAGTTCCTCCCTGTTAGAGTCTATCTCAAAACACTTAAAAGACAGACTGGTTAACTCAATATCCACTATAAAGGACATAAATGATTGGGCCGGGTCTTAGGAGGATAGAAGAGAGTAAAATCCCTCAATAGTCCAGGTAGAATCCATGAAAAGGAGGCGAATAAGGCAGTGTCCTCCAGCATTTTGACCAGAACTGAAGAAGCAGCAGCCAAAAATAAACTTTTGTCCAGTTTACAGATTGAATTTCTCCTTTTGCAAACATCTTAAAACTTAAATTTGGCCTTGCTGCTTTTTATAAACAAACCTTTAGTATAGAAGCATTAGTTTGAACACATTTGTTGATCTGCTTTCTTCATGTATAACAAAAAAAAAAAAGCAAACACAAAACTGAAAAAGCATTAAACAGTTAAACAACAGCCTACTGATTAAATAATGAATAAAAATATAGTCATACTCAACTCCTCGTGGCAGTGGCAAAGCTCCTCGTATGATCTGTGGGGGTGATGCATGTTCGTGAGCCTGTTGTGTTCAAGTGTGTACCTGAGCTAATGGAGCATCCAACCTGCCTCTTCACATCATGCGCCGCTTTTGCATATTGAAATTCAGAATCACGTGACGGTTCGGGCTTACTGTAAACATGCTATTTGGCAATCTGACGTGATGCAAGACGACATGACCTAAATATACGTCGAGCTGCAGTAGGCCTATGTAGTTCGTTGACCAGCCTGCTGCTACTGTTTTTTGTTTTATATTTTTGATAAGGTTATTTTACTAGGACATTTTACCGGAAGAATTTTTATTGTTCCTAGAAAGAAGGAAATATTTGCTAAGGTGCTTTGCTTAGAAAACGTGTTACAAGAACTAAAGCAATAATTAGTTTTGGCTACTAAAGCTTAAAGAGGCCATATTATACTTTATTTCTACTCTGATCTGTGTCATAATGTTGTTTCCTCATCAAAACCAAACCAGGAGTTGTGTTTTGTTTCATTCACACACAAACCCTGCATATTCAAGCATGTCATGTAGCGATACAGGAAGTGCTCCACTGTGAATTCAAACTCCATACATCTTTATTTGGATAATTTTAGCCCAGAAATTTTGCCAATCTGCGCCACCTAGTGCCTCCGCTCAATTTCACTTCTCTCCAGCGACTAGGTCAGCAATCAGAATACCATATTTTTCAGGCTATTAGACGCACTCTTAAGCCTCTAACCCTATCAAAAAATGACCGCGCTCCCCACAATCCAGAGCGCCCCATACACGAATCCACTCAGGTGTCCCAGCGCGACTTCAGTAAACTACAAACACACACCACCCACAGCGCACGTAAACACACACGGAGCAGACAGCGACCGCACAGCGAAACACACCCGCAGCCACACTCATCATCACTCCACGCCGACGAGGAACAGAACGGAGGAACGAACCGAAAAAGCGAGCGCAATGTGCCACTTCTAGACACAACTGAGTCACTGCGAACACGCCAACAATCCGTTGGTCCCAGACAGCACCCTCCCTACACGCCACAACTGAACAAAGCCCAGAGTCACCGTGAACGCCACAAACAAAGTCTCACTGACCCATCCAACTGTTGTGTTTCGTTTAAAGTCTGTTGCAGTTTATTTGTGAAAAAAGTTTGAAAATAGACCATTTAATGACAGTGCGCCTTATAATCCATAGCGCCTAATAGTGTGGAAAATACAGTACACTGGATGGTTTGCAAGAACCCTGTGCACCGGCCAATCAGTGAAGAGCTGTGAAGCCATTACGTCAAACTCAAGTGTCTGTCTGGGTCCCTTTTGTGGAACAGCACAACAGTAAACAAAGCGGTCGAGATGGATGTAGACGGAGACAGACATTCTGTGTTGGCAACGATTCCCGAGATCGAGGATTTAAAGCCGGAACAAAAAGAATGTTTGGTGAATTTTATCAACGGGAAAGACTTTATTGTCCTTTTTCCTACGGGACTTGGTGCATTACATACGTCACAACCAAATAGCAGCGATTGGTTAAATAAAAATAGTACCCGCCTACCGTCGAGCGAACGAATCCTAATGCTGCGAGGTCAGACGGTTTCCATGAAGTGAAACCAGCTACCAGAAATTGCCAATCTGTACTTCACTTGAAAACCACAGCTTCGTGACATCACAAGGTGGAACAGAGTATTTTGAGGTTTAGAGATGTAGACAGACTAATAATAAAGGATTACTCAAATGTGTGAACTCCGGGATGTGTCTTTGAGGAGGTAACAGCATTATAACATGATGTAAAGCTCACAAGAGTCAATTTTGTGTAACACCAGACTTTTAAGATGCTTGCAAGAACATATAAGAATTAGATTATTAGATTCACGATAATTATTACTTTACAGGTGCACTACTAGTATGTAACTTTTTGTCTGGGGCACAATCACCTGCTTGTTTCTATGGATATGTCATTGCTCTGCCTGGAATGTTCCACAGTATGACTTTAACAGCTCAATTAAAAAGTACAAAGAGGCTAAAGAAATTACTCAAGAATAAAAAAGTATTTGGGAAAACTACTTCTCAAGTAAGTGTAACTGTCATAACATAACATCTGATTCATAATTAGAAGGACAAAACATTAAAGGTGCGCTATGTAACTTTTTGTTTTTTTGGTTCGTCACCTTTTTGTTTCTATAGATACGTCATTGCTCTGACTGGAATGTTCCACAGTATGACATTAAACAGCTCTATTTTAGATCTATTCACTTACAGATGGTTTTGTAGCTCAAAAATACCTAAAAACATTCATTCGGACTGTGAGCGGGGTCGCCTCTCCACAGATCTGACTTATAACTTGGTCTGGTTTGGTCTCCATGAAGATAGAAACGTTTAATGCCATATTGTGGTACATTTCAGAAAAGCAATAACATCTCCAGGAAGAAAAGGCAAGTAAAATGTTTGCTGTTAGAAAAGTACTAAAGGTTTAATACCAGAATGAAAACTTATACAATGCATTTTAAATATTATTTCACTCTACTTCTACTTTTATTTCGTTGAAGAGTACCTGGTGAGTAGTTTATGAGACGTCTGCCTGCACTAAAGTGAAATGGCCTAGTAGGCTATACAATTTTCTGTAACAATAAAACAATAAATGTCCTAAAAGGAAGTATACTAAAACCATCATGGTGTTTAGATAGTAAGACATCAAATTAAAGTGGCAGTGTTACTGGAGATTATACAATCTAACTACCAAAACTGGAAAAAAAATTATGTCTAGGTAAGTGAAAATGACTTAAATTAGGAACATTTGACTTTATTTGAGTCGATTCAGCTCGATTTTGTTTCTTTTTTAAGGGCAAAAAGTTGTTGGTTTTCTTATTTTAAGTGTCGCAAGATGTATTTTCATATTTTAAGTATAAAAAATCTTATTCCACTGACAGATCATTTTACTTGTCAAGTGAAATTTACTCAAATCATGATAAAACTTTCTTAATTCAGGTCATCTTAACTTGACTAGATCTTGTTTTTTGCAGTGAAGGTGGATAGAGTAGCCAAAAATTGTACTCCGGTAAGAGAAACGTTACTTCAAAATAAAATTACTCAAGTACAAAATAGTGATCGAAGTAAGAGTAAAAAAGTATTTGGGAAAAGTACTACTCAAGTAAGAGTAACTGTCAGAACATAACATATGATTCATAATTAGAGGTTAATGCAATTTGATGGACAAAACGTTAATGTAATTTTTTGTTTTTTGGTCTGTCACCTGCTTGTTTCTATGGAGATGTCATTTCTCTGCCTGGAATGTTCCACAGTATGACATTAAACATTTCTACCTTACATTTATTCAATTATAGGTAGTTTTAGAGCTCAAAAATACTTAGAAAAACAGGCATTCTGACTGTGAGCGGGGTCGCCTCTCCACAGATCTGGCTTACAACTTAGTCTGATTTAGTCTCCATGAAGACAGAAACGTTTAATACCATAATGAAAAGTTATGTTTATTAAATTATCGAAAGTTTTGTAGCTCAAAAATACCTAGAAAAACACGGATTCTGACTGTGAGTGGGGACGCCTCTCCACAGATCTGACCTGTAACTTGGTCTGGTTTGGTCTCCATGAAGGTACACTGCAAAAAATAATATCTAGATAAATTAAACTAACTTAAATTAAGAACATTTGATTTTATTTGAGTCAATTCAACTTGACAAGTAAAATTATCCACCAATGGAATAAGTGTGTTTTTCATAATTCAAGGAACATTCAATTTTGTTTCATATTTTAAGTCCAAAAAACAAGATCTAGCCAAGTTCAGATGACTTGAATTAAGAAAGTTTTATCATGATTTGAGTAAATTTCACTTGACAAGTAAAAGTATCTACCAACG